CATTGAAAAAATTAAGTAAATTCTCTTCATTCTTTTCTTTCTCTCTTTCTCTTTCTAATACACCCCATGTCAATTTGATTTTCCAGGCAAAGATGTTTTCTACCACCCAGTAGCTGCAAACTGGGTCCCAGGTGCTCTGTGGAAATTGAAGTGATTTTGTGTTGAGATTAAGACTAATAGCAAAAACACTAAATTACATTTTTAAAGGAATCTATCCCTTTATCTTTTAACCGTATGCCTTCCTTAGTCATGTAGAAAAAACAATCTTGACTAATCTATTGACCAAGAAAAAGTGAAAAGCAAAAAATTGGAACTTGAATAAATGCCTGCTTGATTCTCTTTAAAGAGTTTTCACAGGAAATATGATCAAAGCATCCTAAAGCTTCGATCCAGGCCATTGGATTGAACTCCAAAGCAGTGAGAGAACAGTCTTTTACAAATAGTCATTTGTGAGACTTACACAGGGGAGCTGGCTATACTTATATGGAAACATAAAGCATGCTGAGTGCTGCTGTATGTAATACCTATAACTAGATATACTCAGTCTATGTATAGAACTAGATATACTCAGTCTATGATCATGGTGATTTTGGGGCATGTTGTCTTTTATAGGACCCTTGATTTAGAAGAAAGAGTGGGGTCAGACTCAGAACTTTCCCAGAACTCCTTTGAATCAGTTATGTGCTTAGTAGAAAATGAGGTCCCTTCTATGCTGCTGATAGCAAGATATACTTAATGGATTTACCTGAGATGCCCAAACGACATTGCAGGTAAACCCAGATTAATCTGGAGAGAACTGGGATATCACAGTTTTCTCTGGATTGACACCTGCAAATATCCAGACCTTAAGCTAAGGTCAGGATCTTTGCAGGAACTGGGCCTGTGGGCAATTACTCCCAGAGGTCAATCCCCACAGCCATCCAGGTTCTTCAAGCTTCTGGAGCCTGAAAGAGCAGGATGGCACCCACCTCCTTCCCCCCAGCTCTCCATTTTCCCCTCAGAAACTCACATGAAAGTACTTCCAAAAGTACTCCTGACATACGAAAATGACATGTCAGGAGGTGGGAGAGGGATTTTCTTCTTCTCCCCCTCCTCCTGACGCATCATTTCCATGCATCAGGAGTACTCTTCAGAGGGACTTGTGCTGCCAGGCAGGCCCCTTGGGTATTTTTTTGTGAGGGAAATGGAGGGTCTCCTTTGTCTATATCCCCTATTATTCTGTACAATTGCAATGTCGGCTCTCTGATATCTATCACCTTCTTTTCTCTTCTCAAAGCACGGCCTTGTTGTGCTAAACCAGCAGCACCCTTGAAGATTGTAATTTCAGGCAACCTGCAAGCAAATATTGAAGACATACTGTATGCTCCTTTTTTTTTTAAGCAGTGGGACAGGCTCTTGACCTTGGGAGTTGCCTCCTTTGGTAAAATTCCCTGTTTTTGCATGTCTATTCCTGGCAGAAACTTCTCAGTCAGGTTTGTGGGCACAGGTCTGCAAGAAAGAAGAAGGTCCAAGGATTATTTAAATGTAGACCTAACCTTAGCAACATCTGCAGTAGCAGCAAAACCTGGATGAAATAACACTTGTCTTTTGTTGATTTTCCTGTGTCTTTCTTTTCCTTTAGCAAGTTCTGGAGTCTCCCAAGCTCTCCAGGACCTTGGTTTGAATCAGAATACCTGAATCTAATAGGCTGTTCTAAGAATGAAGGACACATACTTGGAATTTTTCTCTCTCATCAAATCTGGCAGCAAAAATAGTTTGAATGATTGTTAATTGGCATAGCCAAAGATATGCATGAGATTTTTTCATAAACACAGAGTCCTTTCTCTCTTCCCTTCATGTGAGTCACAACTGAAGCAGGAATTTTCTAGATACCCACTGTTTCTTGTTTCATCTGAATCAGACTAAAAGGAAGCTTGTAACCAATTGTAGATTAAAGCTTGTTCTAGAAACTGATAACCATATTTTCTGGCCTGAATGAAAGGAAATTATGGTTAATCAGAGCATTTCTAGTTTGACTGTGGCTTTTGGCTGACAAGGCTGATATCACGAGTTACATTAGAAATCACACAACAAGCCAGTTTTCAACTTCAAAAAGCAAGTCAAGATCAAAGAGCAACAAAAAAGCAGTCAAGGAACAATGCAGAATGCAATAAGGAGCAAAGAATAACCAAGAATAAAATATCATTTCAGGGCTCAGGAAGATCACATTACTCATTTAGAACAGGAAGCCCATTATTCTTTCCACACTAAGGCATCTAAAGGTGATGACAGGTAGTCAGAGTCAGTATAAAGGCCTGGCAGCTACATCACTTAGAAGGCCAACATCATCTGAGGTTCAGTAGTTTATCACATTGACAGTGCACATGGGTCCAATGGATCTTCAGCCTGGTGAATAGAAATTTAAGGGACTGCATGCATAGAGAATGGTGGGTTGAAATTCAAGTTTAGTATGTAGATATAATTTCATCAGAAGGTAGCCAAAACCCATAGTGATTTCTGAAGATATTCAAATACTAAGCTACTTGTGAAAACGTATATTTTCACGAGAATTCCCATCTTCTCTCCATAGTAACATATTTTCTTGTACCAACTACTCCCCATGGAGAGTTTTTGTTTTATGATCAGTGACTGTCAAGAACAATCAGTGGAGTTAGAATGGAGGACTTGCCATGGTATTGTTTATCCTCCAGTTAAGGTATTCTATCATCCAGAGTTGGAAAGGGAGTAAAGAATGTTATGTGTGGTGAATGTAACATGAGCTCTTTCTGATTCTTATTCTTTGCACGTCAATAAGAAAGCAAGGAAATCTTATTTTAAGAAAGAAGGACAGGACTTAATCTGTTGCTAAGCAGATCAGCTCAGTGACTCTCTAACAAAATAAAAAACTGATAATGCTGGAATTAGTCTGAAGGAAATGAAGTCTTTTAAAAAACATTTAGGCATTCCAATGGCATATAACAAGACACTGCAGTAATATTGCAGCAAGAGAAAAAATTATTTAGAGTTAATTCTTATTTTTAGCTGATAATTTCTAATTAATTTGCTGTGGTTATCTTGTTAAATGTCAGTTAAATCTCAAAGCGCTCCTTACAGGTTTCCTGTATTCATAGAATGTAATTACACATCTGTTTCTTGTGTAGCCTTTATTCCTCCCATCATTTTCTATTTAGTAGAGACAAATATGATTTTCAATATATTCATGAAATATTGCACAAATAATCAATAATTAATCTTGCATAACAAGACAGTATTAATTAAAATGACTCATTTTTAAAGCTGGTCTTACATTTATGCTCCCATCTATAAAGGCAAATAATTGTTACAGAGTATATTATGGCCATGATCTGCCAGCATTCGTGAATTCCAGTGTGGAAACAAAATATAAAATCTCACAAACCAATACAAAACAAGGTTTGGAAGAAAATGAGGTAGGATTTGGAGAAACCCAGGTGGAGAAATCCTTAGTTGGAGTCTATTGTCATGAGGCTATCATCTTTCATACAAATTCAATGAGACAAGATATCGAGAAAACTGTTATTGTGAAGCCAAATGCCCTGTGATCTAATTGTACACCTTAAACATAGCTCCATATCTTTTTCAGTGTACTGGGCTTCTATGACAGATGCACCGGAGTTTCTGTGCAGAAAAAAAAATCAATGTATAAAAACAGAAAGATTGAAAATCAGTTCCCTAATAAGTCACAGGGCTGTTCAGTCTGGCCTTTTTCCAAGAGTCCTCAGAGAACATGCTTGTGGATTTATTTGGTGGAGAGAGAAAAAGTCTTCTATTCAATTTATTATAAATTCAAAACTTGACCTAGTCAAAAGAAATTACTCATGAGGACAATTAGAGATGGCTAAAATCTTTCAAGGTGGAAGAGTTTATCCCAAGCCTTGGGAATGTAGAGAAATATGTAGCTTTAGAGTTAACCTGTATAACTTTGATTTTAACATTGATTTCATTCACTATGCTCCATACCCACTTGTTTCTCCCTAAAGAAGGCGATTTCCTCAGTTCAATTGCCATTTATTTATTCTGTAGTCTTTGTTATGCCAGTAGTTTGCTTCATCTCTCTTGTCATTATTTGTCACTTTTGTGTTCAAGAGACTCTTATCCTAGCAGCAGCTTAGTTCTTTCTTCAGGTTTTACTCCATTTCATCGGATGAGTATTGATCTTAACTGAAATACCCTTCAGATTTTTTAACTTTGTATTCTATGCCAGTGCACTAGACTTATTCATACTGGATGTGTTGGATATATGGAGTAGCTAACAACATTTTTTGTCATCTGATACTTGAAACTTAAGGCCAGTGCTAGCATATTTTGATGCATTAATATATGTGTGTGTGTGTGTGTGCATGTATGTGTGTGTGATTGCAGTCACCGGCTAATCCCTCTCCAATGCCAGAAATACAGCTTAATGGTGTAACATTATAAAATGTTGACCATTTCCGCTACCTTGGTAGCCACCTCTCCACAAAAGTCAACATTGACACCAAAATTCAACACTGCCTGAGCTCTGCGAGTGCAGCATTTTTCCGAATGAAGCAGAGAGTGTTTGAGGACCAGGACATCCGTAGGGATACCAAGGTGCTTGTTTATAAAGCTATTGTCCTCCCAACCCTGCTATACGCCTGTGAGATGTGGACAGTCTGCAGACGTCACATGCAGCTCCTTGAATGATTCCATCAGCGCTGCCTCTGGAAAATCCTGCAAATCTCTTGGGAAGCGGACAAATGTCAGTGTGCTAGAAGAAGCAAAGACCACCAGCATTGGAGCAATGGTCCTCTGCCATCAACTCCGCTGGACTGGTCATGTTGTCCGAATGCCTGACCATCGTCTCCCAAAGCATATAAATTGATGGAGAGTGAAACTTTGTTACACAAAAACAAAAAAGTTCATTGCCACTAGTTATATATGAATTGGATAGCAACATTGAACTAAGCATTGATTTCTTGTGTAGAAACTTCTAAAAAATGCACCTATGCACTTTCAGGTATGGAGAGGAGGAGGACTAACAGAGTTTAACTACATGGAATGCTGGCTAGTCCCACTTGTACCATATGACAGCCACCTTACATTTCAAATGAACAGTGGTGCCAGCCATTTTTAATGTAAGTGTATTTTAAAATGCTTTTAGGATATTTGTTGTAATGTTTACTTATGCTTTAGTTAACTATGTCTTATTGGATTGTTTTGTTTTATTTTTCATCACAATGCTTAATTCTTTGTCATAAGCTCACTGTTATTACTGTTGCTTTATTGTGCATTATTTTGATATGTTTGTACTCACCTGAAGCATTGAATGCTTGCCTTTTTGTATGCGTAAACTGCCCTGAATCCCTTCAGGGAGAGAGGGCAGTCTAGAAATAAATTATTATTATTATTATTATTATTATTATTATTATTATTATTTTATTATATTGTGAGATTTTTTTGCCTTAATATTCTGGGTTATATGGCTGTGTGGAAGGGCCCTGAGACCCCTTCCACACTACCCCTATATTCCAGGATCTGATTCCAGATTATCTGTTTATTCCAGATTATCTAGCAGTGGAGACTCATATAATCCAGTTTAAAGCAGATAATCTGGGATGAAATCTGGGATATAGGACAGTGTAGAAGAGGTCTTAGATGCTGATTTGTTTGAGAGAAAAATGAGGACAGGTGGCATCATCTGAAGTAACTATGGTGACAAATTTATTTATTATTTATTTTGAGGTTTTATATACCGACCCTCTCACCTTCAAAGAGGGATTTGGACCGGTTCACAACGTGTGTTAACATACAAAGAATATACAATAACAACACAATGCCACTTCATTACACGATTAAAATATCAGCACCATACACATTAAAACATTATCATCACAGTTAAAAGAGCCAAATCGTCCAACACCATCACAATCCCATTCATCATCCTCCTTTCATGTGGGCAAAGAATTAAATCAGTTGTCAAATGCCGCATTCCACAACCAGGTCTTTGTTAGTTTCCTGAACGTCATGAGGGAGGGGGCAGTTCTGATCTCTAATGGCAGGGAGTTCCAAAGTCGAGGGGCCACCATCGAGAAGGCCCTGTCCCTCGTCCCCACCAGCCATGCTTGTGCAGGCGGTGGGACCGAGAGCAGGGCCCCTCCAGACGATCTTAGTGGTCTTGATGGTTCATAGGGGAGAATACGTTCGGAGAGGTAAACAGGGCCGGAGTCGTTTAGGGCTTTATAGGTTAACACCAGCACTTTGAATTGTGCTCGGAAGCTAATCGGCAGCCAGTGGAGTTCGAGTAACAGCGGAGTGGTGTGCTCCCTGTATCCCGCACCCGTTAGTAATCTGGCTGCCGCGCGTTGTACTTGCTGCAGCTTCCGGGAAGGCTTAAAGGCAACCCCACGTAGTGAGAGTTTAAGTAAGTCTATACGGGATGTAACCAAGCATGTACTACCGTGGCCAAGTCAGACTTCCCAAGGTAACGGGCGCAGCTGGCGCACAAGTTTTAATTGTGCAAGCTCCCCTGACCACCGCTGAACCTGGGGTTCCAGGCTCAGCGATGAATCCAGGAGAACTCCCAGACTGCGTACCTGCTTTTAGGGGGAGTGTGACCCCGTCCAGCACAGGCTGTAACCCCGTACCCTGTTCGGTCTTACGACTGACCAGGAGTACCTCTGTCTTGTCTGGATTTAGTTTCAATCTGTTGTCCCTCATCCAGTCCGTGACAGCAGCCAAGCACCGGTTCATGACCTGAACAGCCTCCTTAGTGGCAGGTGGAAAAGAGTGATAGAGTTGGACATCATCTGCGTACAGATGACATCGCACCCCAAAACTCCGGATGATCTCTCCCAACGGCTTCATGTATATGTTAAACAACATAGGGGGGATTCCAAAGTTCCATAATTGTAGCTACTAGCTACATCTAAGAATGCAAGATCCCAGCTAGTACATTTTTAAAGCACAGACCACAATCCCTAAGTAAAGTAAAGGTAAAGGGTTTCCCAACATTAGGTCTAGTCATGTCCGATTCTGGAGGTTGGTGCTCAACTCCATTTCTAAGCTGAAGAGTATAGTGCTGTGGCCTAGAGTCCAGGATTTAAACCTTGATCTTCCTTACTCATATTAAATACCTTTACCCCCATAACACTACTCTTCTTAATATTGTCTTTCTTTCAAGATAAAATGGTGATTATACATGGGGGTATTCTGTAATCTTTCACTTCCCTTCTCTTTGTTCCCCATGGTCATTCCACCTCAGCCAAGTAGATTGACAGTTTCTCTCTTAGCATGTTAACTTTAAGGAATTCACAACTAGAGTCTCAATATTTAATGAATTACTTTGACCTTTCAATGCCAGCAAAATGTCTCCAGATGTTTCTGTGTTCATTACCATTGCAGCTTTCTAGGGATGTGACCAAGGGAAGTCAGCAATATGTGACATATTAAATACATAATCTGCTGTGACATGCATCTAGATGGGTTCATCTGATGGGAGGATCTTAGTAGTATTGTGCACTCTATTCTTTATTTAATTATTGAAATGCAATTTATGTGTGTATGTGTGTTTGGATGGTATAAAGCGCCAAGTGTTTATCATAAGAGAACAAAGCCCCATACCTAGGCAAACCACCACTTTAATAGCATTTTGCTGTTTTCCAAGAAAAAAAGTTTCATAACTACAGTTGGCATGATTTTCTCTTCCATCTGCTGCTCTTTGAACTATACTGAGGCTGCTTTGGAAAGATCTCTGACTTTTTGAAATTATTTGAGGGGGCATAATACACTGCCGCTTGGAACCCACAGCATATACCAAAAACTGCAGGAGCAGCCCTTCTGAGGCCAACATTCAAACAAAAAAGATCAGTATATTGAACTGGATTTTAAATTCTTGTAATTCTGAGGAAAGTCTGGGGGGACCCAGAAACATCTGTGTCTTTTACTGAAACAACTTCAGTACTATGTGGGAAGCAATATTTGCTATAAGACATTAGACTAATTATTTCATATGAGATTGTGTGCTAAGACTTCAGTGCAATGGTGTAGAACATCCAAGCTGCCTTCTTACCATTTAGTGATGTACACAAGTGCATGCATTTTGAATGGTTGCTTAATTTTTTTTTAATCACAGCACAAGTCGATAAAAACATCGAAAGAACCATTCTTTTCTTGCAAAATTTGTGCAGCTTCATTTCACAAATCTACATTTGCAAGGCTGAAAATGGGAAATGACTGAACATGGTCCACAAACAGAGGCCAGAAGCCAATGAGTTAGATGCACCACCATGTCTGTTCCAGTATGTCATTCTTTGTTACCATGCCTAAAGAAACAGCAGCCTCCAGAGCTGTCAATCTGGTAAATTTTATCAGTGGAATATGTCATTTTCTCCCTCCCCTCAAAGAATAAAGAAACCAATTATTTCTCTCTGTGTGGATCCCCTTTGCCAGAGCCAAATAAATGCTGTGCAGACCTGTGCTTGATTGCAACATTGCTTTTGTATTCCGTTTAAGATTGCTTCATCTCTTATCAGGGACACAGGAAGGCTCTGAATTGTGTCACCTTCTCATCATTGCCAATATTGTCATAATTTGATATGGGGAAAAAACGATGCATGCCATTATATCCTTATTTGATTTTTCAAACATGTTTCAGCAGTCCACTGAACTCATACTAATGCATTTATCTGATTTCCTTCCACTCTCTTGCCTGAATATACTTGAAGAAAGTATTTCAGATAGACTTTCTCTCTCTGACACATAAACACATACATACATACACAGAATGGATTTAGGAAATACTTTCTCAATTTACAAGGAAAACAGCAAGCTCTCTCTCTCTCTCTCTCTTTTTTTTTTTTTTAGGAGGAGGAGGAGGACTAGCAGCAGATGGAGCAGCATTGGCAGTAGTGGCTGAATATGCTTTTTACCAATCTAAAAAACAAAATAGATTGTCAGTGTTGCTGGGAATAAAGCAATGGTAACACACATAGCCCTATTTTCTTTTCAGACTCTCAAATATTACATATTTCCAAAATATATCCTGCTATGTATTTCATTCTCCTTTTTTTTTACTTTCCTCACCCACTCTTTCTTCTGTGTTTTTGTATTTTTTTTCCAGTTTGCCACTTTCGCACTGCTCTGTTGTCGCACTTCTAGCCAAACTATTAGGATCCAGCAATTGTCTATTCCTTCTTCCGTGTTTTTTTTTTTTTAAGATGGGGATATCTCTTCTTCAAAAGAGATTAAATGACAAGACTCCCTGTGGTGCCATAGGAGAGCTTGGAAACTTCTACACTGTGTTGTAAATGGGAAATATGAGGTGCCTGAATGACTTTTCAGCATTTGTTCTAGAGTCTCAAATATGGGTTGCTGTAGTAGGAGGTCCAGGTTTCTCATAGAAATGTTTCAAATATTCATTGGATTTATAATTTATTGCCTCCCCATTTCTCCTCCACCATGCATCCTGTTTCTTAATGTGTGATATCTACCTTCCAGAAATCTGTTGTCTCCAAGTGGAAGAAAATAAAATGGGGGATGAAATCCTATATGTATCAGGGTTTCTTGTTCAAAAGTATATAAATCAGGGTGCACAGATATGTATGTTTTTATACAAGCAATCCTGGGAGTATCTACACTGTAGAATTAATATAGTTTGACACCAGTTAAATTGCTATGATTTGATTCAATGCTATGGAATCCTGAGATTTGTAGTTTGATGAGGCACCATTACTTTTGGGCAGAAAAGGCCAAAAACTTTGTAAAACTACAATACCCACAATTTGTAACATTGAACCATGACAGTTAAAGCGGTGTCAAACTGCAATAATTTTACAGATTATATTGGTTCCCCCCCCCCCCCCCCAAGGTATCAACATTCATAAATGCTCAAAGGCCATTATATACAGTGGTATAATACCTGTAATATTTTCCCTTCTGCTCATTTCTTCCTGATGTGCACATGCCAGGTCTATTGTTGCAGCAGTTTCTTCATGAAATCTCATGGAGTAATATTTTTGGACTGCAGTAAATATTCATTGAAGAAGAATACTCTTTCATGATCCAGATACTTCCTGGTGTGGCAGGTTTTTTTTTCAATGCAGAACTCATCCTTGATAATTTTTCCATGGGGTTTGAAATGTTGTTTTTTTCTCAGCAAGGTTTATCTTACCTTACTCAAATTAACAGGCCACAAAGAGATTATTCCTCATGAAAGCCAAGTGATTCCATCCAATATGAATAACCCTTCCTCCCAAAAATATAGATCAGAAATTGAACATAAGCAAGAGCACAGTTATAACTTCATTATGTTCTCTTTCCCCCCACCTCCAAAAAAGCTACACAATATTGTGTTGATATTTTCTTTCTAGTAATATTGCTATTTTTGCCTGGCAGCTCCTTTTTCCATAGCTGTGGGCTGCCTCAGTAAGCACATAGCTCACAACTCACTCTCTCAGGGAGTATTTGTTAACTACCAGCCTTTGTAGCAATATGGAGAAGCTGGAATTGGAGATGCTGAGATGGGTGCCTGAGGGCAATATATTATTTGAGAGCCAAATGTAAAAATCAAAGGTTCTTATTTCTGTTTTTCTTTTCCCATTTGATTCTCTTGGGTTAGACTAGTGATTGGAAGTTTCACCCATTGCTTCAAGGCTTTCTTTGACAAAGGAGTCTGCATATATATGGATGTTGGGCAATTCTGTTTCTTAGAAAATAGTACCCTGTTTGCAAGGGCATATGATTGGCATTCAGTGCTTATTATATTCCCTTATGCTTTTTGCGTTGGCAAGGCAGTCAAAGATTCCTGCAAAGGTGGATTCCTTAGCCTCAGGGACAGTTGTGTCACTACTAGTGCAATCTTATCCATGCCCATGCCCACTCAGAAATAAATCCCATACTGTTCAGTGTGGTTTATTTGCAGTAATGATGAATAATTATTGCAATCATACAATGTAATTCTTACTTAGAATTGTGCCAGATGTAGGGGATTAGGATTAGGCACAAAACTATTCTCTTATCAGAAATACCTTGTTGCAGGATTGACTGAGAGCAATCTGCCATGTGGAACTAATCTGCCAAGAGAAGAACCAAAATGAGCATGGAAAAGGAATGGAAAGAGGGAGCAGAAGAATTAAGCCAGATCCAAAGCACTTTCAGTTACAATGCTGTCAGGATGTTAACCCAAGGTAAGAATACTCCTAAATAACCACATATAAGGATATGTGGTGGCAGAGTGGCAGGCCCGTAGCCAGGACTTCGTTTCGGGGGGGGGGCTGATTTTTTTTGGGGGGGGGTCGGGGGGGGGCTGAGTCTGAGTGAAAGAGGGTCTAGCCTAGCAAACCTTTTGTATCATTACCTCAATACCCCCATGCATATGGGATATATTGAGTATGGTGATCAGATCATGATATGAATAAACATAACAGTTTAAATAATGCACCAGTAAGGCCTTTTCGCGAACCACCATGAGAATTTTCGGGGGGGGGGGCTGAAGCCCCCCGAGCCCCCCCCCCCCCGGCTACATGCCTGCAGAGTGGGATTTGGATTAAACACAGCTTCAGTATGGATTCGACCTTGACAATGGGTTTCTGTGAATGTTTTAGGCTGTATACCCATGTTCCAGTAGCCTCTCCTGATGTTTCAACTGCATCTGTGGCCAGCATCTTCACAGGTCATTTGGAGTTGAGGCAAGTGGAGTGTATCTGTGGAATGTCCAGGGTGGCATAAAGAACCCTTATCTGTTTAAAACGAGTCTAAATGTTGCAGTTAGCAAACTTGATTAACATTAAATAGCCTTGCAAAGTCAATCACTGAGGGTATTTGTAGAGGTAGCCTGTCTGTTGTGACTGTTTTGGAGGTGTTGATTGTTTGCTATCTGGAATTCCGCTGTTTCTGAGTGGTGTTCTTTATTTACTGTGTTGATTCTGGTGGTTTTTTTTAAATACTGGTAACCAGATTTTGTTCCTTTTCATGGTGTCCTCCTTTTTTGTTGAAATTGTCCACATGCTTGTGGATTTCAATGGCTTCTCTGTGTAGTCTGACATGGTGGTTGTTAGAGTGGTCCAGCATTTCTGTGTTCTCAAATAATATGCTGTGTCCAGGTTGGTTCATCAAGTGCTCTGCTATAGCTGATTTCTCTGGTTGAATTAGTCTGCAGTGCCTTTCATGTTCTTTAATTTGTGTTTGGGTGCTGCATTTTTCTCCAAAATAGCCATGTTAAGGTAAATCCCTTATTGCAAAGATTTTAAGCAGTCCAGAATACCCCCCCCCCCCATTTTCAACATTTAAGAAACAATTGTTCAAGTATTATTCCCATCTTGATGTCACAGGTGATGGGCTCTGATGCTTAGATCATATAATTCAAATAATACGTACCGAGTCTAACAAAAGAGAAGAAAACTATCTGGTTTTCCAAACTATGCAGCAAACAAATGGAAATATGTTTCTAGCTTTTAAGAACATATGGAAGTGGTATTCCAAACAAAGGAAATGTTTCAAACCATTTCAATTCACTATGAAACACATTTGCACATTGTACACATGCACAGAAAGAAAAAAAATAATCAAGAGAGGAGAGAGAAATATTAATCCCCTTTGGCCTGCAGATTATAGAACAGTGTCCAGGCCCTACAGTCTGAGAATCTAAGTTACTGCTGATAAAAATTCATGTCACAGGATACCAGCCCTAAGTTACATTTGGACTTGAAGGCTGTTTTCTATACGCTACATACAAACAGCTTCTTTACCTTCAAACCGGACTTTCATGGGCAGATCCTTTAACTAAAGACTTGAAGTCTTGCTAATTGTTATGATGAACACACAATTATATTTATGAATGTGCCTTTTGAAAAATGTTGCTTAATCTCCAGTGTTTGTATTCTGCTGAGACATACTTTTCATGCACACCAAACAGACTCCATTTCTAAGTTTCCCTCTCTATCTCAAGGCCAGTGACTCTATACAGAACAGCAGAAAGGAAATGATTTGCCAACTGCAGGCAGGAAGTTCCAACTGGTTGAAACTCTTATTATATGGTCTGATGGTTCTTAGAACAACAGGGGACTGTGTGACTTGGTGAAACTGTAAGCAAAAAAAACCAAAAAACAAAAAAAAAAAAAGGCTCACAGGTGTTCTACTTAGCTGTACCCAATAGAAACTGATAGCCAATTTAGTTTTCTTGCTCCACTTGTCTGCTTGAGACAGTCACCCAGGAAGCTGTTGCTGATGATGTGTCCTGCCAATTACAAACCCATAGCTCTTGTCAGAGCTGATATTATCATTGGATGCAAGAAGCATGGCTCCCAAACACAGAGAATGCTTAAAGGTTTCTAAGACCTTCATCTGGCAGTAGTGTAAGTGAATACACTAGCACAGACCTTCAGAGGAGATAACCAACCAAGTCTGTTATTAGGAGCTCAAATGAACTGGAAATATATTTGTGACCCGTTCGGGCACCAAAAGTATGCTTTGCTGTCCATTTATTTTCTCTCGAAGGTCAACATAAAATGAAGTTCATGTAAAAACACTTGGTGACTTCCATTAGTTGCAAAGATGTTACATAGGGTGGTGGCAGGGGGATAGTGGCGGAGACCATTGATGTGTGAATGCCCCAAGTTCATTTTGTAATTGATTTTTTCTTCCTGCACTTTCTTTGAGAACTTAGAAAAATAAGATTCCACGATATGTGTGTGCTGAATGTAGAAGCACTGGTTGTCTGGCTTGTTTAAGTGTGAGAAAGCTCCTTGCAAGCTCCCCCTAGTGGACCTTCTCCTTTCTAAAAACATTCATTTGAAGGCATGGGACTGACAGCACTACTTGCGGTCTTATCTGAAATAACTGGATATTTCATTTTAAAGCAGTAGATACTCCTAGAAATGTTCATAGATCTCCAGCGCTTCCACTCATTACTTACAATTCAAGACTCTGGAAACACAATTTTAATTAATAAAAAGTAACAAAACACATAAAAACAAAAAGTTATACAATAAAATGTGTTGTTGTGTATATTTTTGCCCCCTAACAAATATATACCCTCCAATGCAGTTGTATGGACATAGTGTTAGTGCTTTGAATGTGGACAATGTTTTCCAGCTCAGATTTTAACTCAATATAGAGAATCATTTATTGTGATTCACTCACCCCCTTATCAGTTGCAGTAACTACTGTGATGACAGAAGAAGGTCATCAAATTGAATTAGATAGGCTAAATGCTTCAGTAAGACATCTTTACATGAAGGTTCTTCCTCAACATCCCCATGTATGCTGGCTCTGCCCCTTTCAATCATTTGATTGACAAGGTCTGAATAGGAATTCAACTTATATTTCTCATGAATGTGACCAAAACTCTTTACACAACCAAGGACCCTGATAAAACAGAATTGTTTATCATAATTGCTAGTCCAAATAAAGCAACCCCATAAAGCATCACTAGATAAAAATCAGCAATGTGGCTTAGTAGGAAACTGCCAAGCTCTGGTGATATGTATAGCTTTCATTCAAAACACAACACATGTAACATCAAGTCTGAAGTTGTAGAAATAATTGCCTCAATGGCCTTAATCCTACTCACATGTTACTTTAAGAATGACAGAAATGAAGTAAATGACAATATTTATCACCTTACCATGCATTACGTTGAAGATCTATTCAAATAGATTTCTTGCTTCTAGTTTTATGAAAGAAACGGCTGAAGAAAATAGATTATTTACAAGTAGATATTAAGGAGAAAATTGCTTATTATTCCAGTGCTCCAGGGCTATATGAGACAAACGTCCTGCTAGCACTGGTGTGAGAAATTACTGTTCCACAAGGTTTGCTTGCCTTGCAATCACTCTCTTTGCTCATACACAGAAAAGATGTAAGAAAATAGGCACATATAAGTGGACATGCATCATTCTCCTTGGGGGCAGGCCTGTCATCATGCCAGAAGAAGACAACTTGGCAAATGATAGGCTGGATTTCTGCTGGCATAGCTTGACACTCTCTTTAGTGTACCCAGCACTCTGTAACCCACTGAAAGGTGGCTTTATATATGAGGTCTAGAATAATGGATGGAAAGAACTTGTAGACCAATTGGAAACTGGTATTATATTCTCGCCCTCCTAGAACTGACTTGTTTAACCCTGCAGAAAGAGCTTTATTTGCTTGTACCATCTGGACTCATGGTTCAGCACTTATCAGATTCATAAGTGTGTGTGTGTGTGTGTGTGTGTGTATAATATGCAGATACATCAGAGGCTCTTTTTACAAACTGCTGTCTGAAGAAGAAAAACAATGATGCAAAGAAGCTCGGCCTGTCATTGAACATCAAGACGACCCCCAACTTTTCCAGTTAAAATATAGCTTGGGATATATTCGCCATATAAGACTACCTCTCTTCCAACATACACCAAATAAAAATTTAAAAAGCATCAGATTGATTTCAATATAGTAATTTTCCTATTACTGTACCTCCTTCTCTGCCTCTCAGATCTTGCACATGCACACCTGCACCACTTCACTGCAGTCTTCAGGAGTGAGATCTGAGAGGCAGAGGAGGAGGTATGGTAATAGGATACAAGGGCAGGCCAGACAGGTAAAAGAGGTATGTTTTTCTGGACCCAGAGCCACTCTATCTCTTTTTTTCCATACCCCGGGTGCCCGGACACCTGCAGCTTGCTCCACCCTTCACTTACACCTTCCCAGTGAGGCACCCTTTCACCTCACCATCGGGACTGCATTATGTCCACGAATACTGATGAATGACTACTCCCGTGTATAAGACTACTCCCGTGTATAAGACTACCTCCGTGTATAAGACTACTCCCGTGATAAGACTACTCCTGCTTATAAGATGACCCTGCGTATAAGATGACCCCTGACTTTTGAGAAGATTTTCTTGGGTTAAAAAGTAGTCTTATACACCAGAATATAACGGTATTATTATTATTATTATTATTATTATTATTATTATTATTATTATAGCTTGTAGGCCACATTACCCAAATAATCTTTTTGTCCTTTTGAAAGACTTCCTAAAAACTTTACTGCCTCTATTCTGCATGAAAGTATGCTTCCCCAGCTTTAATAGAAAAAAAAAACTTCCTCCTTCCCTTCACTCCTATTACAAGGAGTGCTTCCCCAAAGTAGATGAAAAATCTGTTTTCATTTACTTATGTCAGAAGCAGACTGAGGGTACAGTTGTAAT